ATTGATCTTGTCATTCAACTCTCAGCAAGTCAGTCAAGCTAAGCAGGCAACAATTAAAATAAGAAATACCCACTGCCATCATACATAGTGTACAATTTTGATGTGTATTATATAAATGTAGATACAAATCCAAACCCTTAGGGTGACATTGCATAAGATCCTCATCGAGTGTTAGAACTGCTGAGATAGTGTTGGTCGTTCATGGAATTTGATGACAGACAGACTGACAGATAATTCATTTATTCAGTATAAAAATCACCACCAAAAACACTGAGCCAGGAGAATTCTTGCAGGAATATATTTGAAGACACATCACTGACTCCAAAGAAGGGGCCCGGTTCTGAGAGTACTCCTTGTTATGGTACTAAAGAAGTCCTCAACGATTACACAGTGGCATTAAAGTACTATAAAACAAATGTCTGGGTTTGATAACAAACCGATTCTCTATTCCCTCAACAGCCCAGGACCTCCACATCCAGCATCTTCACCACCAAGATTGTCTGAGACCAGCCAGCCGGACAGCTGCTGCAAGAATCGTTTAGCATCCTCAAATAATTTCTGCACAAACTGTCAGGAACCATCTCAGGGAATCTCATCTGCATGCTCGTCATCCTCTTTGGGGTCTCGACCTGACTGCAGTTTGCCATCATAACCGACTTGAGTGGGCAAATGCTCACATACGATGGCGTCTGGAACTTTGGAGAGGTGTTCTCTTCATGGATGAATCCCAGTTTTCACTGTGCAGAGCAGATGACTGTGTATGGCTTCGTGTGGGTGAGTGGTTTGTTGATGTCCTAGTTGTGGATCGAGTGGCCCATGGTGGCGGTGGGGTTATGGTATGGGCAGGCGTGTTTCATGGACAACAAACACAGGTGCATTTTATTGATGGCATTTTGAATGCATAGAGATACCATGACGAGATCCAGAGGCCCATTGTTGTGCCATTCATCCACAACCATCACCTCATGTTGCAGCATGATAATGCACGGCCCTATGTTGCAAGGATTACAATTCCTGGAAGCTGAAAACATCCCATTTCTTGCATGGCCAGCATACTCACCGGAGGAATTGGGGCAAAAACAAAAGTGTTGCGTTTATAATTTTGTTCAGTGTAAGAACACAGAAGAGGGTGGGCACATGAGGAACTTTCAGTTTAGGAGTTTGTGTGTGTCTTAGCTTAAAAGCACATTCAATAAAGTTTGCTTCAACATAGTTCTGTATATTTTGTACTGTTTTCTATTTGTGGTTGAACAACTTGTGTTATGAATAGCCATCCAACGTTGTGATGGTTCTGAGATGATCTATAGGTAACTCATCACTATTTCAATGGCTATTAAAATCACTAACACACATTTAAACTGTACATGCTAAAGAAAGAAGTTGAAAATATTGAGATGTAAAAATCTATAAAGACAAATACCTGCCAAATATCAGTGTGAACTTAATGCAGCACTGGTTGTGTGTTCTCCAGTTGATGCAAACTCTAAGTTCCATTGTTACGATGCTGCACCATTTGACAGCCCTCAAATATGCTTCTCTATTCGCCAACAAATGTTTAACCCCACATTTCAAAAAGCTACAATGAGAACATTGCTGGTGACACTTTTCTAAAAAACAAAAACAACAACACTACAGCTTATATATTTGGTTTAGATTATAATTTTCGAATTGTCCATTTTGCTTATTTCATATTATTTGTAAAGTGTGTCTGAATGTCTCTGTGGACCTTTCTCTAAGGCTAAGAACAAATGTACTGCCGAAGCATTTTAGAAAGATTTTCAATTTTTCAGAGACAGGCTTCATTTAGCCCCTTAATTACCACATCATAAAACCTAAACACGCACATATGAACTTGTTCATTTGTAGCTAAACTAACCTTTTCAACATTTCACACTTTAGTTTCGACATGATGTGATTTCAACTGTACAAAAGTAGCTCATCTCGGCCACACCTACTGACTACCAGTTATGCACAGCGTTCTAACTTTGACAGCTGTATTCAAAAACTAACATAGCTATCCTTATTAGCTAGGCTCCTTACATGCTTGCTGATAACTTTTTTGAAGGTGGGTCTCCGACATTGACAACATTGTGTTGGATAGATTTGTGCAGCGGTGTTTAGGAAACTAACTATTCAATTGACAGACAGGTCTGTTGTCAATGTGTTTGCGAGCAACAACTTCCTAAATATAGATTTAGGACACATACAAACACTGGTCATGTATCATGATAATTAACAGCATTAAATCCATTGATTAAAAATGAAGAGATCTTGCAGCTGACCTTTGTATTCATTTTGTTTTTACTTTCACTTTTTGTGCTTTTAAAATACTCATTCTGCTGTCTACTGGGTAGTCTATCATTTTAGTAGTCTGAAGCTTGAAACAATTTAGGAATTTCACTAAAACTCAACCTTTGTATTTTGTTGAAAATAACTTCAATAAAAACTCAGGCTTTATATTTTCTTACAATAACAGATTATACCAAATAAAGACACTCTGTAGTTAGTTTCTTCTCATAAGTATGATTAAATTTGCTTATTTATTTTTTTCTCACAAGTTGGAGTGTGATTATCGCTCCATGCTATCTAAGAGGGAACTTGTGTCATCATGTACAAGAGAACAGTGGACTCCTGTCGTTCCACACAGTACAAGTGTGGTCCCTTTTTCTGTAATTCAAATCAATAAATAAAATGCATTTCTGTAAGTGTAGACTAAGCACATAGATATGATGACAAAATGTATTGACATTCAGTGGTTGTGAAAACTGGTCAGTTTAGTGTTTTAGGACTGAACAAGTTTAAAGCTGTAGTCAAAGTCTGATGTGAAATACTTTTTAACAATTAATTAAAACTGAATAGAAAGTATCTTACCTCTAATCATTTAATTTATAATTCAACTCTGGTTGTTTTTCTATTTTTGTTCCTTTTTTTGGAATCTAAAATCCATTTTACTCTCCAGGCCTTCAGTGTAGCCCTTTATTTTAATACATGTTGATCTTAAAACACAAGACATCCACTAAAACTCAGCCTTTATATTTTGTTTTAAAAGAATGTATAGAAAATAAAGAGACTATTTAGTTAGTTTATTTTGTCTCAAAAGTATGACTAAATTTGCTTATTTATTATTTTCACACAAGTTGGAGTGTGATTATCGCTCCATGCTATCTAAGAGGGAACTTGTGTCATCATCTACAAGCGAACAGTGGACTCCTGTCGTTCCACACAGTACAAGTGTGGTCCCTTTTTCTGTAATTCAAATCAATAAATGAAATGCATATCTTTAAGTGTAGACTAAGCACACAAATATAATGAAATTTTTTTTATTGATGTCCAGTGCTTGTGAAAGCTGGCCAGGTTAGTATTTTGGGACAGAACAAGTTTAAAGCTCTAGATGTCAAATGTCAAATATTTTTTATTAATTAATACATTTTTTTTATAATTAATTAAAACCGTAAAGAAAGTATCTTTATACTGACCATTTTATTTCTAATTCTACCCTGGTTGTTTTTCTATTTTTGTTCCGGTTTTTAGAATCTACAATTCATTTTACTCTCCTGGCCTTCAGTGTAGCCCTTTATTTTAATACATGTTGATCTTAAAACACAAGACATCCACTAAAACTCAGCCTTTATATTTTGTTTCAAAAGAATGTATAGAAAATAAAGAGACTATTTAGTTAGTTTATTTTGTCTCAAAAGTATGATTAAATTTGCTTATTTATTATTTTCACACAAGTTGGAGTGTGATTATCGCTCCATGCTATCTAAGAGGGAACTTGTGTCATCATCTACAAGCGAACAGTGGACTCCTGTCGTTCCACACAGTACAAGTGTGGTCCCTTTTTCTGTAATTCAAATCAATAAATGAAATGCATATCTTTAAGTGTAGACTAAGCACACAAATATAATGGGGGGAAAAAAAGTATTGATGCTTGTGAAATCTGGTCAGGTTAGTATTTTGCGACTGAACAAGTTAAAATCTCTAGATAACAAATAATTTTTTATTAATTCATTCATTTTTTATAATGAATTAAAACCATAAAAGTATCTTTATACTGACCATTTTATTTATAATTCTACCCTGGCTGTTTTTCTATTTTTGTTCCCTTATTTAGAATCTAAAATTCTCCAGGCCTTCAGTGTAGCCCTTTATTTTAATACATGTTGATCTTAAAACACAAGACATCCACTAAAACTCAGCCTGTATATTTTGTTAGAAAAAATTAAGAAATTGGGTTTCAAGTGACAGCTTTCTTTACTGAGTAGCTTGTATAATAGCCCCTCTACAGTCTGATAGACTCCCTGGGGCTGCAAGCCATTCACTCTATAGGGGAGTGTTAAGAACGACGTGTGTGAATGAGTCGTTAAAATCTTTGCTTGATCCACTAGAGGCACTGCTGAGTATGGACTTAAACACTCACACACCTGCAGGTCCCCTCTTGACAATAGTTTAAAAAATTTACCAGATGGTTTTAGACATGATTTTAGCATGATTTAAAGCATGTCCAACAGGGGACCTAAAAAATGTCCCCTGTTCACTTTTTAGTCCCCTCTTAGTGGGTGTGTAACGACGTCGAGGTCCACTGTTAGATAGGTTGGTAAGTGCACACACACACACACACACACACACACAATGTAAATATAAATGACCACCCCACATTTCTCTCACTCAGAGAGACAACATTAAACTACAAACATCCTTACCTTAATCTCTCACTACAGTAGATGCACCCAGCCATTATATTTATGTAGCTTTTAATTACAACTTTACTGTATGTTCTTGGCTTTTAGAGGTCTGGAAGTGGAGCTAGGAGCCAGCTTTCCTCTATTTTGTCTTCTTTTTGTCTTTTGTTAAAACATGTTGTTCCCATCACCTCTTAGGCAACAGAAGAGCTTGTTGTTGCCAAGTCTTCTCAAATAAATTGGAAACAAAGAAGCTTGCCAAAACTAAAGTGTGTGTGTGTGTGTGTGTGTGTGTGTGTGTGTGTGTGTGCGTTCTAGGGGACCTGGTGCGGGTAGACCCTGGCCAAATCCTCCAAACTCCAATTCGGTAAGTGCTCTAATAAAGACACCCAACAGAAAGTTTAACAGTTATTTCATTTCTTTCATGAGTCCCTTCTGTATTTTTGCAGACTCCTTATTCTTCTGCATCTCCAGGAAGTTATGTGGTATGTATGTTTGAGATTAAAGTGTTGTAGAGGCTGTAATTCATTAGTTCATGAGTGAATGTTATGTAAACCAAAACTGTAATTTTAGGGTCCTCCAGGGGGAGGGGGGCCACCTGGGACCCCAATAATGCCAAGTCCAGCAGGTATGTATATGTGTGTGTGTGTGTGTGTGTGTGTGTGTGTGTGTGTGTGTGTGTGTATGTTTTTCATGTTAATTCGTTGGGACTAACCTGAATGCACACTAACCTATAGGGACTATGTCACCATGAAGACAAAAATTGAGGTCTCCATGGGTTCAGGCTGCTTTCAGGTTAAGGGTTTTGCCTGGTTTTAGGGTTCAGGTTACAATTGGGTTTTTAGTCCTAGGTTTAAGGTTAGGCATGTAGTTGTGATAGCCAAGATTAGGGTAAGGGGCAAGGGAATGCATCGTGTCAATAAGATGTCCCCACAGGGATAGTGGAACAAATGTGTGTATGTGTATGTTGATGCTCTTTCCTTTTCTTATTGTTTCTCCATTTGTTATGTCAGATTCAACCAACTCTGGCGACAACATGTACACTATGATAAACACAGTCCCTCCAGGTGGAAGCCGACCAAATGTGAGACATTTTTCTCTCAGTATGTCATTGTATCTGAGTATGCTGCAGTGCAAATGGATTGTGTGTGTTTGTGTGTGTGTGTGTGTGTGTGTGTGTGTGTGTGTGTGTAACAGCTGTTTGATGTAAAAAATGTGTTGTTTTTTTAAACTTGTTTTGTTAATGGTACATTTCCGGACAGGTTTATCATTGTCTCCTGTGTCTCTTGATCTCAGTTCCCTATGGGTGCAGGTGGTGACGGTCCATTAGGGGGAATGGCTGGAATGGAGCCCCATCACATGAATGGGTCATTAGGTACAGGAACGAGTAGCTTTTAGAGCATGTACTGTATTGCCACTAAATCTCTGGTTGTGTTTTTCCCTAATTTGTCAAATAGTTTAAGCAAAATGAGCATTTGATAAATGTGTCATTTTCATACTTGCGTTCCCACTTTCAGGGTCAGGCGATATGGACAGTCTCCCAAAGGTAAGAGAAAATATTTTTCTTCTTTGAAACTCCAGTTTGCAATTGCACTGCATGTCTGATTTTTTAGCCTTAGTAGCATAGCAATTACCATCAAGCTGGGTTTTACATGCTTTTTTAACAGAACTCACCTGGTAACCTAAGTATGAGTAACCAGCCCGGGACCCCGAGGGAGGATGGAGAGATGGGAGGAAACTTCCTTAACCCTTTTCAGAATGAAAGTGTAAGTCACTTGTCATCTACTGATTAAAGGGATCTTAGGTGTTTGGTGTTCAAAACACCATACCCATACTATAAGGTTAAACACAAAAATTTAAAATGGGTTCATAAAATGTTAAGGAGTAGTTTGACATTTTGCAAAAACATGCATTTGCTTCATTGCAAGATGGATACTACTCTCAAAACGGCAAACCAGCTAACCTGCCTCTGTCCAAAGGAGAAAAAATGTCAAATTACTAGCACCTCTTAAGTTTACTCAACATGTTTTATCTGTTTAATCCGTTTAGAGTTGCTGGTAGGCAGATTTTGTTACGTTCTGACAGAGGCTAGCTGTCTAGCTGTTTACCCCTATTTCCAGTCTTTAGGCTAAGCTAAGTGGCTGCTAGCTGTAGCTTCGGATGTGCCATACAGGCAGTATCGATCTTCCCATCTAACTCCGGGAGGAAATCAATCCATAGCATTTTGGAGGGATACTGTTGTACAACAGTGAAAAATGCTTTTCTCTCTCTCATACACAGACATACACACATACTTATTTTTTCTCATGTCATCTTTGCAGTATTCTCCAAACATGACGATGAGTGTGTGAAGGCTCTGGAAGCAGGTTTGGTCAGTCGCTCAGTAAGATGGTGTGGATCGGTGAGAAGCAGAGAGACAGGATGTGATGTCATCTAAGCCAGTGACTCTTCCTCCACCGCCAACCTGCCTAGTCGGGACAGTTGCCAGAGGTTCCGTCCTTCTACGACCCCCACCCCACCCTACCCACCATTGTTTTTGTCCACGTCTCTTCTCTCCTGTTTCTTCTCACGTTCTAAGTCGTGACTCCGCTACATTCATCAGTTCTTCCTCTGCAACTATGAGACTGTACAAAGGAACCAAATTGAAACAACTCTGAGGAGAACTCTTTGTATATTTGCATACAGTGTGTATGAGACTGTGCACACACTCCAGTTACAGGCAGATGTCTCGGCCTTTTGCATCATATCACACAGTTCATGCCCAAAAATGAAAGGCCAGTATCCTATTTATTCTAAAGTTTTAAATGATTTAAAGAGATATATATATACACTTTTTGATTGACTTTGAAATATAATCTGTCTGGCTGTCACGTTGAACATCTTTTGTCTTCATATATTACTTTGTCCATTACTGGAGGAGAATTGGAGGGACATCAAAATCATATTACAATGGGGTTTATTTGAGGCTTGTGCAGATATTTGTAGTCCAGAAATTTTAAATTTTTTTAACTTTTGTGGGTCTAAGGAATTTTCATCCCCAAACTCAGCCACAAATGTGGAAAATGTAAGATTTTTTCCTTCTGCCTCACCTCCATCACATGTTTGCGAGGCCTGGTGAGGCAAATGAAGTGCAGATCCAAGTCAGCTCTTTGTTCAGACATTACTCATGATTTGCAGAAAGGATTCAGCACAACTTGGAGTATTTGCCTGCATCTTGAATTTGAAGTCACATTAAATGGTTATTGAGAAAAAAAAAAGAGCTTTGTTCGATTATTGTCACTAGTGACAATTACAGGATAAAGGTAAATAGTAAAGTAGTAAAACAGCAGCAAAAGCAGTAAAGTAGAAGAGCTATTTGTAAGAGAAAGAATGTGTTATTTCTTCTTTCAAAAGTTATGTAGTCTCTCTTTAAATCATTATCAGATCAGTCACTATGCTAACTGTATTTGATTGGTTTGCACAAAGTGTAATACCCAATAGTACAGAAAGTTTTTTTCATAATTAAATGATGCATCTTTCTGTATTCAGCGATAAACATTGTTGTGATTCAAATTGTAAGACTCCCCACTGTGAGTGGTATACCGAATTTCCCTTTGGATGATTTTAAATTCTGTTGACTGCACAAGCACAGGGCTTTAATATGGGGAGAGCAAAAGATCCTTAAAAAATCTTTAGAACTTTACTCACATTTTTTAGCAGTTTACATCCTGGAGCCACAGTTGCAAAATGGGTACAATGACCCACATTCTCTGCAGATAAAATCTTAAAATGGAGGGTAAGACACAAGCTTATAATGTCACTTTGGTCACTCATACTTTATTGTCATCCGGATAAACTGTGATCTCAGTGTGATGTGGAAGGTTGGTTGGTACAAAAAAGCTAAAATAAGCTTGTTTTTAATCAATGTTTAAAACTTTTTTCACTGCCCAAGTTGTATTTTCATTGTGTCCAAAAGGTTGATACTCCTGTGAACATTCTCCTCTCCCCTCCCTTACTGCAAAGTGTACAGCTCACAAATGTAGCTCCTCTGTCTTGTATATGTATTTGATATTATTATTATTATTATTTAAAGAAAAACCTGGAGAGAAATAATTGCATAGGGGAGGGATGGACTGATGATGCATCACAACTGAACAGAGATATTTTATTTTGTTTTTGTGTTAGATTGAAGCCATAAGTGGGAGAACAAGATGCATTTGTAAATTGGATCATGTTTTCTGTTTTGTGGCAGTATGTGGGACTCCATTTGTGATGTGTTCATTTTCTCTTTTTTATTCTTGTATTATGTTTTTGTAAATACACAGAGAAGTATTTCATGGGTTTTGAATATGCTAGTATAAAGCTTCTCTTCCCTTACTCAAGGTGTCAGCTCTTTTCATTTGTGAGGACTGCGTGTGTGTGGACATGAAGTCAGTCACTTCAGGGTGTATTGAGTGTGTTTGTAGACAATGTAATGTTATCACGAGTCTCTCTGAATTTTGTGCTGCCTGTGTTGTACAGTTGTCTCCAGTGTGACAACATTTAAGAACAAAGACTGGCTCTGGTGATCACAGTCACAGTTTTAGCAGTTCAGCTTTATTCCAGGATTACTGGCAGTCATGCTTGTCACCCACTTTGTGACAGAATTTTCTAGAGAAGAAGAAGACCACTGCACCCAAAAGTCAGAAGTTTTTCAAAAAGAACTGAAAACAGGTGGGGCATAAAAGTGACAGTTTGACATTTTGAGTAATATGCTTATTTGCTTTCTGGCCAAGAGTTAGATGAGAAGATTGATACCACTCTCAAAATGTCGAACTATTCCTTTTTAGTGTAATACATGGTCTATTCAGAAAGACACCACTCTCCTGGAGCCCAGCACTTGCTGCCCCATGTTTTACAGGCTCATTTTCATTGATGGCGCACAAATCACGGTAGCTGGGGGGATCAGTGCGGCAACAACCTTTTTACAAATTGATTTACACTGTGGCTGGAATCCAGTATAAGACGGTGGAAGATTTATCTTTTGCCAGCTTTAGAGGTGCACTCACAGTGAAAGAAGACTGTTCTGTAGTTATTATGTGGTTGCCACATTATTATACCCAGCAGGAGAACCTTAGAAGAAATTATTTCAGAAAGTTTTAATGTGATGGTTTTAGTAATAAGTAACATATACTCAGACTGTGTGATCTACGCATATTGCAGGAGTGCATTTCTCACGATCAGTCACTCTATCTCTCAAACACAGAGAAAGAGTGAGACTATCACCCACAGAAGGAATAATCCACCCTGCACAAGAGAAAACAGTAGGAGGGAACCTTTGGCAGGAGAAGAAGACCACTTTTTATCTTGTATTAAACCATGGCATAGCATAAAAAACACATGCAATAAACATTTACAACATATGAAATATTTATCCCTATCCTTCACACAATAAAACCAAATAGAGGAGAAATCAGCAAATATAGTAATATATCTCCTGTATTCCTTTGTCTCTGCAGGGATACATTTGAACTATTTATCACACATTCCCACCATTTCACAAACACACAAACATACCGTAGTCCGCCCACCACCCATGTCCCTATTCACCCCACCAAACTCTCTCTCTCCCTCTCCCTCTCTCTCTCTCTCTTTCTCTCTCTCTCTCTCACCCCAATATTTAGGTAACTTCCCCTCTGCTAGTCCTCACAGTGGGCCTCCTGCAGGAGTACAGTTGTCCTGTTCTTGCTTTGGTATCCAGGTGGCTGTCATTTCACTTCTAACCATGTCTGTTCAGTTTTGTTTAGCTTTGCTGGCTCTCCTCTCTCTGACTGCGGCATCTAATCCAGACTGTGAGGAGCTGCTTAAACCTCTGGAGGATCGAAGCAGGGTACGTTGTCCGCAGCATCTACATTCGAGCTAAAGCAGAATTCAGGCCACACATTTGGTTTTGCATTATTTAATCGAACCCAATTTACATTATTGTTGTTTGGTAATTTACCTGAAAACAAAATCTGTGTTTTCAAAAAGTCAAGCTGCAGAGCAAAAAAACAATGAGTAAACATGGATGCAAAAAGGGGAATATTATGAATTCAGGAGTGTAGTTGCACTGAAGTGGCTACTGTAGCAGTCAACTGTGACATCTCAAATGGTGCACAAGCACTTGAACGCAAGGGAAAATTCAAAAGGTCACCATGATTAATTTTCCACAAAAGAAAGTTGATTTTCTTACTGACTTGAATCTACAATAAAAACAACAAATGGTACTTTTAATAAACCATTATCAGTAATGTTAATTGCAAGCAATTTGAAGGTTGGACTATAACGTGCATGCTGTATTGTTTTAATGTACCATACATTGCCCTATTTAGACCTTAAAAGCGCTTTGCAAAAACTAAGAGGATTCTTACATTTGTGCTCCTAAATCTCTTCACTTCAAGATGAGTTTTAATCTGTTTCTAGATTTCTGGAAAATGGATATTCTATGCTGGAACATCAGACAACAAAGAACTCCTGAAGCAACTTAACACGATCAACAGCTCCTGGATTGAACTCTCACCTATACCTGACAGTGATGATATGACCCTTCGATGGGGAGACAAAATGTAATATCTGTAAATGAATGTCATTATTTTTAAGGCAACCAGTGCGTAATGTAACTGGTGAGATTTATCCCAGTGCTTATGTGCTTATTATGTTTACCTCTCCTTATAAGGGATGGAAAATGTCATCATGGAGGCGTTAATTCCACCTTCTCAGGAAACTCCTCCAAGGTGACATGTAAGAAAATACATACTGTTGTATGTGCTTCATCCCACAATTACTAGAAATGCTCCAAGTGCATAACAATATGTTAATATTCTGTTTATCTCTAATAGTTTACTTTAACTCCTCCAATCATGAGCATGTTGGGAAGCACCTGGTGACCTGCCCTGACTGCATCCTCTGGACAGACACCTCAGTGATGGAGGGCAACGGGGAAACCAGAAAAGGCAGAAACCTCTATCTTTTCAGTGAGTTCACAGTTGTTTGTAACGATCTGTAACTGCTTTTCTGTACACCAAAGTAAATGATCTGTTCCATAGATTTTTTCCCTTGTTAAAAGAGGTAACATTAACTTTTTCCCTGTCCCTCCCTGCTTTGCAGCAAAGTCTGGGAAATTGGATGCCGCTCATTTGGAAGTTTTCAAGAAACAGGCAGCATGCCTCAACTTCCCACCAGAATTCCACTTTGGAGAATCCACAGGTAAGATGCTTCCGCCTTTTTCTCTCTTCACCACTACACGCGCAACAGTAACAAGGTTGTGTAACCTGATTTCCTGCCTCTGTTTCAGACCTGTGCCCCGATGAGAAGGAAGCTGCCACAGATGTAAAGGAGGAAGAACAATAGAGAAAGCGCATTTTGAAGCGACTGTTGTCCACTACACCTCAAATCTGTCCCGAGACCTGAAGTTACTCCATGAGTCAAATTGCTGTATTAAAGACCAGAATAGACTGATTTCACATTTATGATCAGATTTACAAATCATGATGAATACCACTTAGATGTCTTTTTCTTTTATGCATATAAAGCTTAACAAAATGAAACACTATATATTTGCACACTTGTATTTTTCATAAATGCAATCTACATAGTGAGAGTTTTTATGATTCAAAGCAGCTGTTATGGACTGTGACTAAAATGTGTGGTAAGGGAGCAAAAGATGGAAATAATAAGCAGAGCTGGGGGCTGGTTGACTGTTTCGTTCATGCATACTCTTCCTCTGCCTCAACACTAGTCTACACTATGTTGCCTACTTGTCAGAGGATCCCTTGAGGGATGGAGAGCAACATTTTTACACGGCTGTGAGAAACTTGTGCTGGAGTGCAGCCCTTCCAAAAGGCATCATGCACTGTGTGGTGATTTCCCTGAGAGAAGACAAAGTCGTGGGCTTTTTACCTATTTGCATATTCCTCTCGCTCAGTTTCACCAGGCTGACTTTTAACCATCACGTAACCAAAAACATTTACTGCTAAATGAAACTGTAACATTTCTCCCCGGTTCAATACAGCTTGAGGATCTCCAAATTTATTAAAAGTAAAACATAGCAACTGAAATTTGTGTGTGTTGCATTACACAGTTTCAAACTGTCATAGTGCACATCAATGAAGAGTCAAACTCACACACACAGATACCATTTACATGATGGCATATACAATCTTTTATTTGTGATTTACATAACCCATCTACTATATCTATATCTATTAATGTTTAATGCACATCTTTATTTATTATCTGTTCTATTAGCCAAAAACATCTTTTACAGATGAAAACCTTCTACATATGGAGCCACAAAACACAATTGGTGATTTATTGCCCAATATTCACAAATGACATTTTGCAAACAAACTATAAACATCTTGATTGTATGTTGAAGTCTTTGTGTGTGGACCTCAGACAAGGATTTTTCAGGTGGACCAGATCAGCTGAACCAAGAGTGTGTTGACCAAGCACAATATTCAATAAGTGACAAGTCCCTGAAGTACATGAACGTTGTTCTGCTGTGACACATCAGATGCGAAGTATTACCTTTAACGAGGCAAGCTACTGAAAACACACATGACATGCCTCACATTCCTCGTCATCCAACAATCAAAGTTGATATTTGTGCTCATCCCTTCACCAATATCTCCACGTAAACATATCTATGGGGAGTAAAGAGGTCGGAGCCTAGACGCAAAACTATAACTATGTTCTGCTCTAAGAAATATTTCATGTAAGTTGTCTGACTGAACTTTCATTATTATTAATGATCTATTTGTAGTGATTTATCCCCACTACAAAAAAAAACAAACAAAAAAAACCAACCAAGCTCTGAATGGTCTCCCTGGAAGAACAGAGCAGTACATGTTGTGTAAGCTTGCACTTGCTCTGAGGAAACAAAAAGCTACTTGATGTCAAAGACACCAAAGCCCAGTTTGTGTGCGTGTTCAATGAATTAGCAAATGAAAGTAGTTTATGGAAATATTTGTTATGTTTTGAGGCCATTGCGACTGGTGAAATAACCAACAAGGTCTGGAGATGAGACCTTTTGTGCGTGTGTGTGTGTGTGTCTCTGTCTCTTTATTTTTTCTACCTTTGTGCATGTATGTGTGTGACTCTGTGCAGGAGGGTGTTCCCATATTGAAAGATGCAGGGGTCTTGCTATTCAGGCTCTGCCAGCTGGCTGTTATGTAACAGGATAAATAGGACAAGTCCTTGCTGACTGGATGTGAAAAGTGAACAGCTTCTTCCCTCTAAAAGAAGAGGGGAGAGTGTGTGTGTGTGTGTGTGTGTGTGTGTGTGTGTGTGTGTGTGTGTGTGTGTGTGGCCCAACCCACTGTTGCACAACACCTCCCCTGGTTCCTTTGAGGAGGCTGGAGCTAGCAGGTTCCCTGACATTAGCTTTGCTCTCTGGCTGCCTGCTGTCTGGAGCCATGGCTGCACAGCTGGTTGTTGCTCTGCTGGCTCTCACCTCCCTGGGTGCTGCATCTGAATTGGACTGTAAAGAGCTGGTTAAGCCTCTGGTACTGGACAGTCACAGCCCTGTGAGTATCAGCGATGATATGATGATGATCATTTGTTATGAGCTGGTCATATGTGAGGAGGCACGGTTTATGTTAATACAACTTGAATGGCTGAGTTTTGTTTTGGTGTTAACTTACATTAAAATGTGCTACAGTGTGATTAAAACTAACTTAGGCTGTTAAATCACGTCACACCTTGTCAAAAACTAAGGCATGCACATCTTAGTTAACTGAGCAGCTAAGGTAGCCATTAGTAAATGTACCTTGCGCATAATGTATCGGCCAGTAGAAGGCAGTGCTGCTAATGAATATAAACTTGCTGCAAAAGAACGTTCAGGGATGCTTGTTGCCCGTACACTGTCATGTCCTGCTGTTTGCCAGTTTGCACTACATTTCACAGTGTAATCTGCATATGGTTTTAGTTGCATTTTCATATGTACTGTGTACATTTCTTGTGTTATTTACAGCTATATTTATTCTTGTATGTTATTCTGATTTATACAGAACCACTTATTCACCAGACAGTGCAGAAGGAATGTGGTTGTGGTGGTGGTGGAAATAAAGGCATTGGTATTGACATCTGTGTGGTTCTAACCAATCACCTGCTGCCGGTTACTAATTAGGTGAATCCAGCGTGCAACTGATGTTTCCACATTCATCCACAGAGTTAACTTTCAATCTCAACAACATGAAGCTTTTTTTGAGTAGAGTGCAATGATGACAAGACTACATCCCAGACTATTATTTCCTGTTGGAAAATAAAGTATGATCATGCTCTAAGACAGATAAGCATCCCAGTCATGAAACTGTGTGGATGTTTCGTTAGATCTATGGGAAGTGGGTGCTCCATGTGGGGTCGTGGGACCAGCATGGCCTGAGGAGCGACCTGGTGTCGGTGAAGAGCTCCTGGGTGGAAATGTCGCCTTCCTCAGACAGCGGAGTCATCACCATCCACTGGGCCGACCGTCTGTAAGGACACTGCTGACTGCAAATGATCAGTCACGTGACCTTATTGTTACGTTCCATTTTCTCTCGCATACAAATTAAATAGTTGTCTGACACAGTTTACAGCCAAGAGTGTCTACTGAAAGGTTGATTTCATTACAGATATGAAGATAAGTGTCTTCAGGGTGTAGCCAACGCCACCATCTCAGGAATGACCAGTCACGCCAAATGTATGGATCTCGAAATATTCACAGTATTTTTCTGTTTACACCCTGACTCACCATCTCTCTCTTTCTCTATAATGTGTAATGTTATGTGGGTGATGCATGCAGCCAAAGCACATTGCTATGATGTAAGGGGAATTCATAAGAAAACACACATACAATATCTGAATTTTGTATTTATTATTATTATTATGGTATTTTTATGTGGTATTTTATTGTGCACAATTTCAAATAGATAAAGTCATGCTTATAGTACGTCACTGTGCACTTGTTGTAATATCTTGCATTATGTGGAAGTCTCATTTTCTGGATGTTCCACAGTTAATATCAACGGTCACACTTCATATCATGATGGGAAGTATTATGAGACCTGTTCTGACTGCCTCCTGTCCGAAGACACCACTGTCCTCCCAGACGGCAAGTCAAAGGGACGATACCTTTTCCTCTTTAGTAAGGCCTTTTTCCTCCTCCTCCTCCTCTATCACTTGAGTAAAAATACACAGTTTTTGGTCAGTATTTTGACATATTACTTGGCAACTTGTCTCCACTGTCTCGCCTCTCTCCCCTGGCTTCTCTTCTTTGTCACTACCTCCACCCCTGCCCACTTCTCTGGTTCCTCTTTAAAGCGCGAACCGGCACTCTGGAGCCATCCGAGTTAGAGACCTTCAAGAAACAGGCTGAGTGTCTTAAATTCCTCCCAGAGTTCCACTTTTTGGGCACAGGTCAGCCGCCATGTCAGCTCAGCCTCTTCCTGGCACCCAGTTGAATTATCAAAGCGAATGTTCGTCACGCTACTTTCTCCACTAATCAGTCATTTTCTCTTATTTCAGATCTGTGTCCAGAAGACAAGGAAACTGCTACACCTGCTGCTGAGAACACAGAGAATAATCAAACTGATGTTCAGCCTACTGCAAAGTAAAGCAGAGCACAGAGGTGTCATAGCCCTGTGAACAGCTTTGAACACACCCAAACACATTACAGCTTAACATGAACTAAATACTGTTATAATAATAGTTTACTATAATCTATGATTTAGTTTAGTAATGTGAAATCTGAATCGCTCATGGCAAGTTCTGGCCGGTATAGTAATGGCTGAAAAATCCACTTAAATGCTTCCTTTAAACTAATTCAAAAATGTGTTAGTTGAGTAACTGTTTTCAGCCGATTGTGTGAGGTAAATAAAACAGCTTTCAGCCTCCCTCTGTACTGTGTTCTAGTCATTTATTTCTACTGTTATTCTGAAGGAATAAAAAGTGTTCTGGGCTCCAACATTTCTTTATCCTTTCTCAAATAAAATAGAAGAAGTCAGACACCCCCATATGTCAAGATTATGCGCTTCATTCAAAACTACTGCGCTCTTCTCAAGTGCACCACTGTTCCCAGAAACTTTAACAAAGACTGTTGCTGGGCAACGTCACTGTTAGGAAGAGAAAGAAGACATCAAACTTTTAAAGAGTCCACTCAGACCCACAGGGAAACAACCTTTGTTCTGCTGAACAAAAGCTGCTTCAGGTCCTTTTTAAAAAATCTCAACAGTCCCAAATGAGTCGTGGCACATACTTTGCCTGGGTTCATTCAGGGGCAACGGTATTGGCAACAGTTAAGCTGACAATTCAATGCTATGCAAAGGCAATCTGCATGGCTCTGCATGGTCATTAAACCTTCACTGGTGCATCTGAGCATGTAGACGACCCCCCCCCCCCTGCCCCACATTAGCACTTGCACAACAACTTTTTTTTTAGCTTGATAGCCCAGAGGGAAAATGAATCAGCGTTAGACGCTTTCTGTTGCAGCTTCAGCAACATCCTCTGCAGTGCTGCTGTCTCTCCCTCTTCCATCTCATCTGTCTGTCTCACCATGGCTCTGCCTGTTGTTGTATTTCTGTTGGCTTTCACTTCCCTCACTGCTGCATCTGCACCAGACTGCAAGGACCTGGTCCAACCTATTATGCCGGAGGACCCCAAACTGGTAAGTTGTGCTTGTGATCCTTTTCTGTCTTATTTCATCCCAATGATGTTTGGTTTTATTTTAAAAAGCATTATATCAACAAACACACTCAGATATTTTTAATATAGTAACTTGAATCTTAATGTTTTTATGTGAAGGTTTTTGGAAAATGGGTGTATGTGATGGGAGCCGGTGACCCCAAGCCGTACCATAAGGCACTGGAGTCTCTGAAAAGCTCCTGGATAGACTTGTCTCCCACTTCTGAGAGTCAAATTATGACGTTACGTTGGGGAGATCACTGCTTGTAAGTTTGATGATTTAGTTAATTAAATAAGTTGGGCAGAATCATCCTTAAATAGAGTTTGTGGCCCTACGTTAGAAACAAGATTTACCTTTTCAGAAATCATCTTAAATTTTAAGTTTGTAAAGACTAAATTTTGTCACATCATATTCTTGTTTCTCAGTAATAGGTGTATCTTTGGGGAGGTCAATGCAACAGTGTCAGGATTTGCTACCACATTTCGCAGTAAGTGAACATCAGACAAGATTTACACATGAGAAGAGATGAAGCAGCCGATGTCTTTAGCATAATATTAACAAGATGAATAAGAGAGTATTATATCCACAACAACAAGTCTCAATGTACACAATACTGCATTATAATCAGCCACGCTGTCCATTTTTGAAGAAAATCTGTCGGAACACAAAGGACATATTCTACAGACTTGCTCTGACTGCCTGCTGTGGACAGACACCTTTCGAAATGGGGATGTCACTGGTAGAAACATCCTGCAGTTCAGTAAGTTTGGTCCTCATCAGTTTTAACACAGTCGGTCAGAGTCTCAAATGTGGTAATGTGCCTTCTTAACATCTCCCTTCTCCTTCAGCACGGACAGGAAAAATAGATCCCAAAGATGTTGAAATTTTCAAGAAACAAGTTGGGTGTCTGAACCTCCCGGAAAACTTCCATAGCTACGATGGTAAAACAGGTCAGTAACCTGTTATGACGGCAGCTTAAAGGACCTGAGTCTAATCTTTACCAGTTAATACAACTCACAAGTTACCACAAGGTGGAGATGTTGTATTGTGGAATTACACACACACAATTTACAATGCAAGTTTCATTAATATTGGAGTAATTCCATGAAGTACAAATGTCAGGAAATGGAGCCAACATTCTCCGTGATGCTCAGGGACACTGTTCCTACCCAACAATTTATCTTTTTTTTTCTCTTTTACTGTGTTTCAGAGCTCTGCCCGGATGAAAAAGAGAGTACAGAGTGAGCAGCAATTTAAAAAAAATGATAGAGATACAGTAACATTTGTATTAAGCAGTAGTTTTGTCTTGAATTATCTATGCCTTAGCACGGACTTTGCTATTTACACAAACATATTGTAACGTAAAATGTAAACGTAACGTAATGAATGCCAGTGAATCAAGTGATGAATGATTTCACATGATTACTCATAAAAATTATAACAGATGTTGACATACGGAATTGCATTCTGAGAATTGTGGTGTCATTTTTGTTGTTGCTACATAAATGTTTTTCAGATTAAAATATTATTGTTGTTATTATTATACAGCTTCTGTTAAATTCCCATGGATCATTGAAAACAAGCATATGAAACAAAAATCTGAAACGAATGTCAGAAAATGTTTAGCTATGCTGTTTTTTTCACACAGTGTCATAGGATTTAAATACACAATGACTCATGCTGTATCATACTGTGGGGGTGGGTGTGTGTGCGTGCAAATTTTAAAAGTCTCTCATGAGGCAGGCTCGTCACGTCCATGTAGTTAAGCCACTAGCCTGCTGTAATGGCTCCCCAGGCCAGTTTGAACACTCTCCATCTTGCATGACCTGCTGCTGTCTGTCCGCCCGCTGGTTCTTGTGCTTTGTGTTCCTGAGCTGCTCTCTGCCTGTGTCAGTCGCCTACATCTGAGCAGTGCTGCCACCTGCTTCTGGCACTGAGAGGAGCCAAAGTAATAGAGGAAAGGATCCAGACAGCAGCTCAGGCTGCCTACACACATGGAGAGCAGGTACGCCTGGTAGGAACCGTCACTGGACTTCTGGGACAGCTCAACATAGTGAACCATCAGGATGATGTTGGTGGGGGTGAAGCAGACCACAAAAACCACCAGCACCACCACAGCCATCACCACGGCCCGAGTCTTCCTGGAGCGGTTCTCCACATTGGCTGCTGCCAGAGCCTGAATAATACGTACGTAACAGACAACAGTGAAGACAAGAGGGATGAAGAAGAAGACAGAGGAGTAGATGGGGAAGAAGTAAAGATAGTAAGCTTTTAGGTTTTCCACATCCTGCACATCGTGGCAGGTGGTGATGTCCAGGTCTGACAGATACATGGTCTGCCCTGAGATCAGGAGGGGGGACACTCCTCCAAGGGCTAACAGCCACATGGCAGCACACACAGCTGAAGCGGTCTGAGGGCTGCGCCAGGTCAGGGAGTTAATGGGGTAAACCACAGCCAGGAAACGGTCAACGCTGATACAGGTCATGAGCAGCACAGAGCAATACATGTTGCAGTAGAAAGCTGCTGTGACAACTCTGCACATGAAGGAGCCGTAGATCCAGTTGTTGCCATTGTAATGGTAGGCGATCTTGAAGGGGAGGAGGAGGCCGAACAGCAGGTCGGCGCAGGCCAGGTTCAGCATGTAGATCGCGGCCGGTTTTCTGGGACGCACGTGATGCACGAACATCACAATGGCGACAAGGTTGAGGGAAACGCTGATGATGAAGACGAGGGTGTAAACGGTCGGGACAAAGCTTGTTGCCAGTCGACCTTGAAGAAAACCTTTTGCTTCCTCTGAGACAAAATAGCTCTTAGTGGGATGAAGGTGTGGGCCGTGTCGTTTCACCGGTACCTGCTCCAACCCTGAGCCAGACCCGTCATCCATCAAACTGTCCAGCACAGACAGATCCAGGTAGTCTACAGGCTCGTCGGTTACCATTACAAAGTGCCCGGAGAAAGTCCGCGGTAAGGGCGCCGAGTCTTAAAGAGACAGAGAAAAATAGGCTACATGAGTGGTTTTAAAGCTGTTTTGTAAGTGAACTAAAGTGCAGATGCAAAATTACAGCACACTGCTACAGCACACTGTTGCACACAAAGTGTTAGGTTTGCAATGCTTGCTTAAACTTCGGCTACCTCTAGTGGTAGCTATCTCCCATGCAGTTTGTCTTTTATTTCAATTTAGGCAACCCATGTCTTTGAAAGAATATTTTCATAACTTTTTACAAACTGGCCTAGGTGCTGCACTACACACCTTTAACATGATAGGGTGAGTGCAGGTAGGTTATTTCAGTATTAGCCCAATCAACGTATTTTAAGCAACACGTTCAAGGCAGCAGATAGATACCCAGGGGGCTTAGCGTTAGTAGATTTATTTTAAACCAGTGACCCCACGACTCCACAACCAGTGGTGGTTATTGGAATTTAGATACAATGTAGGCTATTGCTCATTGTAAAAAGTATTGCCTGTAGAAGGGCTACTTACAATGACTTTATTATAGTAGGCCTGGGATATTGGATTATTACTGACGCAACAGTAACACTATTAAGTAAATTTAGTGTAGTATTAAGTAGGAAAAATATCAAAATACTCAAGTAAATTAAGGTACCTCGAATTAAATCAAACTTATTTCCCACCTCTGTCCGGTCTGCTGCGTCGCCAACCACTTTGACGGTATCAGATTATTCACAGACAATTCCAAAACAAATATGGCTAAAGTTTATCATTACTGTTTCTCGCAGATTCAGTCACTAATTTGGGAAGAGGAACGCGGCGCCACTCCTGCATAAAAAGCAAGTCCTAGAGTCCAGCCTGCAGTACACTATAGCCTGACATTAAGGAAATTATGGGCTACATTTGCAGCAACTGTTGTATGTTTGTTTCCCCCCCAATCAGACATAGTTTACACAACCCTACCTTGCATTTGTAAAAACCCAGCACAGTAGAAGCCTGAACAGTGTAGTCATACTGTGTACTTACCATTTCGAGAGGTGAGTGCAGCGCTTTGCAGAGAAAAAAATATTAACAACCATATTAACAGGTGAACCATGGCTTCACTGGATATCCTCCAAATCTTTACAAATACGAGTGTGTTGAAATTATCTTATTTTTTGTCAGAGGAGTGGCTGAAGTGTTTTTCTGCCAGCATCAAACATATTACAGATACTCCGGCCCCGCCTCACTGCACATCTCCTCCCTATTACAGAGACATTACGTGACCTTGATCTTCAGACAAAAATATTTTCCCTCACAGTTTAAGGTTGTCAGATGTTACAGCGAAGAAAGTAGTTACCAATAAAATAAAAATCTGACAAAGAACGGATTAAATAAAAGAATAGTGATATGATGACAGATGAGGAAAAATTTGTAATTTATTATGCACATTGTTCAAACATTAGAAATCAAGTATATACTGACAATACATATTAAAAATACATTAGTTGCATTTTTTAAAATTTGTGAATGTTTTATTAACTAAAACATATTTCTTTAAACACTAATTAAAAGGCACTGGTAAACTACAGTATTTCATATAGCCATGCAGGCCAGCTGGAAAGTTGCTCCGTAGCTCCAATTCTGAAGTAATATACGGTCCGGCTGAAATTTCCATCAAACCTTAAAGTTCTTTCGGCATGCATTGTAACAATAACAGTGTGTTTCATAGCATCTTTTACATACAAAAACAAGAATACCATTACAATTTCATTCTTAAACATACATTACATTTACAATCACCACATGGAAAAATACAGAACGGGTACATTTAGCTGGACAATATCCACTTTTTATTTTGGTGTGATCCATCAAATTATAATCGGATGAAACAGGACACTGGCCAGCACCATCTAATGTTTTTGTGACAAAATTCATTTTGTTCAACAAACTCAGTACTGTGGGAAGGCACAATGTGTTTCCCCCTCCTCTCCTGTTGCTCCCTCCCTCCTTTTCTTTACTCATTTTCCATAGAATTTTTTGTTTAGGAGGAAGATGAGCAAATTGACGTTCACTTTGGCTTTGTCAAACATCTTCATGACGGCCACGCCTTCATACTGCAGCTGAAGGAGGTCCTGGACACACACAAACACAAAACATCAAATGCAATGAGAAACACACATACAAGCGAATCAACTTTTCATTCATAGAGATAAGATGCTCATTTGGCAGGTTTACATACAACATAAATAATGGACTAAATAAACTGTAGTAGATTAAATTATTTTACTACCATCATTTAAAGGAGGTTTTCAGTAAATGTATTACAAACTATTTGTGACCCCAACTTTACAGCTTGATCTACTCTGCTCAGACCTGTATTCACATAATGTATGTCTAATATTTGTTCATATTCAGTAAACAAATGCTTACAGGTTATTCATTACAACATATGTGTCTTTAGTGGAAAATGTTTGCTTTGTTTCCAAGCCATTTCCTGCTAGTAGTTCAATGAAGGGAACAGGACATTTAACCATCTGTCATCAAGGTTTAGTGTTGACAAGGGAGCTGCTTCATTTCGTGAAATTCTGACACACTTGATGATGAGTGATGATTACCTGGAAATGAAGCTGGACTTTTTCCATCTCAACTCCCATAAACTTGGCCTTCACCTCAAAATCCCCAACTTCCTCAGCAGGTGATATGTCAAACATGACATTTTTGAACCTGTTAGAAGAGAGAGACAATAACATCAGATTAATGTGAAAAAAGTGACAACACAGCACACGGGGGAAAAAAACATGATAATCTTTTCAGAATTTAGTCCCATTATTGCAGACGTACAAAAACTAAATGATAGTAGTGGTCAGCATTTCCCCAGTACTTTCCCCAGAGAAACTGTTGATGGGACACAAATCAGCTTAAATTTGCTTAGTCAGATTGGATCTGTCTGTCTGTAGTGAATAATTACCAAAAACCAGTTGCAACTGCAACATTACTTTTAAAATAAAATATATTTTAAAATATTCTGAAGAAGGGTACATCTAAACTACTGGAAATGGAAACAGTAGGGCTGGACAATAAAAAAATAACAATTATTGCAATACAATTTTTTTCAAACGAATTAGGACTTAATTTTTGAATTAAGATATTTAATTTGAAAAGGAAAAAGGACTGAAAAAAGCTTTTACTTAATTTTACTCATGCATTTTTGTTGACAAAGATTTTATCACAGTTGTTTCAAATGTTCTACCTAAGATTTGTGAAGTGATCCACTGTTTGGCATCAAGTGTTGACAAAAAAAAAAATATATCCTTTAAACTCAATTTGATACTTAGTGATAATTATTGATATCGAAAGATATTAAACTTTTTATCGTGATAACATTTTTGGCCATATCGTCCAGCCCTAGGAAACAGTTAAAGGTGATGCAAGCTAATCTAAAACAATGATGTTGTTCGGTCGGCTGGGTGGGGGATAGGTTAGATACACGGCAATCAAAATTTCTCTGCATGTCACAGCCTAACAGAAACTTCACAACAGGTGGTGCAAGCGTGATATAATCCAATATTTGAATAGTGATGAAGAGTACCATGAAATACTCAGCCCTTTCTGAGAGCCGTCTAAGTGGTGAGCAGGTCAACTCACTGGTTTGTCTGAAGTCCTTCTATCTCCAGAATGACTCCTTTCTCATGCAGCCTTGCTGCAGTGTACTTCAGAGAAGGTGGCTTCCACTTCTTATTACCCTTTTCGTCAACTTTGCTGTCCAGTTTTATAGATCTGCGTGAATTCCTGGATACACAAAACATAGTAATACATATGTAAAATCCACCAAACCATATGCATGTCACACATAATAGGAAGCAAGATTAATATTTACACACAGTAGCAAGAAATATTTTGAAAAACTCTTCATCCACACAAGAAAATAAGGTCCAACTAACTTCCGGTTGAGGTTATCCAGGCAGGTCTTGATGTAGGTATCATAATAGTTCATCTGGTCCTGGTAGAAGGCTGTTTTCGAGTTGAGTGCGGTCAACGTCTGTTGGAGCTTCACAAGCTCGGCCTTCCTCCTCTGTCTGTAGCGTCTTTGGTAGCGAATGTCCTGTCAATTTCAGGTTTACTTTACAAATTGAGAAGCTGAACAATTCTAACAATACACTTTGAATTAGCATTGAAGGCATGCATCTTCTTATTTAGATGAAAGCTGCTTATGTACCTTTGATATGTCATTGATGAGGTCCTGGTATTTGTTACTAGTAGTGACAAGACCAGCCTGCTCTAGGTTACGGAGGTTCCTCAGGATCTTCCTCTTCTTCTGCTCGAGAGGCAGCTGGCTGTCCTCCAGTACTGCTGGGCTGCTCTTCAGACCTTCTGGAGTCTGAGCATCCTGGACTGCTCGGCGCGCTACAATCGTAGAATGCTCCGACTCCTTCAGGAGCAAAGTCACATAAGAAGTGCAAAAAAACTTCCGTTTATAGTCCCTTTTGAAAAATTTTGAAAATGTCTTTTGCGTATATGGTAAGGAAAATTATAGAAATGATCACCTGTGGGGCAGTAGCAGGGGTCTCCAGAATTTCAGGCAAGGTCTCACCAGGTTGAATCCGAACCACATCCACTATAAGCTTTTTTGTCCTGAAGAAAAAATAAATAAATCAGAAAAAGATCATCTTTCCTCTTTTTTGCTTCACATTTGCTTCAGGTGTAATGTCACATAAACAAAAAAAAAATTATGAAACTGTTCTGTCCTCAAATTCTATATTTCACCAACTAATTTTAGAAATACCTGTTGGAAAAGTGTCATTAGTATCCAGACATGTACCACAAAGTACAATACAGTATCAGTTTCCATGACAGAATTGAATGTCACCATTCCCCACCTTCAATCATGATCAGGAAACTATTCATACATTTACTCTTGTCTGTATAACATCACCTTGTCTTAACTGCTTCCAGTTCACCAACATGTTTGTCTGTTTGTTCGTCCAGTTACCGCAAAAGCTACTTAACAGATAGCAATGAAGTTTGGTGGAAGTTGCACCATGAGCAGAAGAATATCGGATTTGTTTTTGGTACAGACTTGGATCCAACAGCACCAGCATATGTATGCAAGACAAATGTGATGGATATAATGGGTTTCTTTTTTCAGTGTTCCATACTCTTTTCTTACGAGTTGCCAAAGTCTTACTAGCCGTTATGCAATTACAACACAAATTCAGATGACACATGCACATATGAACTCAGAGAAATCCTACATTCACATTTATTTGACTACATAATGATTGTAAATGGCAAAAATAAGTTTGGGACCAACTTTCCAACATAGTCTCCTGTAAGAAACTGATCCAGAAGGATACATATTTATGGGCAAGATAACCCTGACCACCAAACCCCCCTTCCTTTTCGGAAGGAAATGATAGAAGAGCAGGAAAGGCAACAAAGACGTGCTACTGAGTGATAGCCATAAAGAAACACACACGGTGTCAAGAGGAGCCAAGTACGCTGCATCACACAGCATTTAACTGTTTATTGAGTAGTTCTGAGTAAGTGCTTCAGTGTAATGGTTTTAAATGTGCATCAATGCTGGATTATCGATGCATGGCCCGACACCTGAATTGAGATTATTTATAAATTACTTTAATACTGTAAGAGTTCCGATGACTGCAACATCAAATTGTGATATTGGACAATACTGAAGACAGGCTTTGCATGAAGCCATTAATCGCAGCATCCTACAACAATAAGCTTACTTTGTCATTAGAGTCTTCAAGTCTCGGTCATCTCCTTCCAGGAGCTCAAACTTGCTGGTTAAGGTGAGGGAGATCTCAGTCTTGGCCAGCTGGCTCAAAACACTCTCTCTGTTTGGGTCATTTGGGTCTGCTGCTCCTTCACCTGAAATAAAGCAGCATGATGTGTACAAGGATAAATACACAACTATAGCCAAATTTTGGTTAATATAAATAAAGGTTTGTTTGACAGTACCGAGCAATGCCTCTACATCAGGAACATCTCCCAGGTCCTGCAGCAGCTCATGCAGCAAGTCATTGTGGTCAGGGGAGATGGCCTCCAGATGTTCCAAAAGCAGCTGAACAAATACAGATGTGATTAGGCCTGTACGAAAAGCTTAAATATCTACTGTGTAACTACTCATTGAAAAATATTGTGACACAGTGATTTAACCTTGTTACATTTTTCCAGAGAAA